GAACTAAGGCCAGCTCTGTTGAATGAATTTCCTCCATCTCTATCTGAGTTTTACCCTGCAGCACAGGATGATCTTCCATTTAATTGGGAATACCCATTGATACTGGTCAAAGGAAAGAAGGTGAAGCCCACTCTATCTCTTAAGAATTGGCCAAGATGCCATCCATTATGGAAATCATGGGTCAATCGTCTTTTCAGTTATGATAAGATCGCCTCCACTTGGAAAAGGTAAGGTATTTTCGATGCCATACAATTGAGCAATGTATCAATGATTCAGGACAAGAACCTATTTTTTCCTGTTGTCTTTTTCTAGTCTAACGTGACCAACTCTTTACATCTCCGGAATGGAATGATGTCTATCACAATGAGGGACATTTGCTGTATAACTGATTTGAAGCCTCATGGAGACGACATCAGCGCCTTGCTACATGCAGTATCTTTCAGTTTTCCCTTCTCTGATGATGGAAACAAGAAATTTTATTCTTCTCCTGTACCTTTCATGGAATTCCACAACAAAAAGACTGGCCCGTTACACTGAAAGAGCTTACTGCCTTCTTGATTTGCTGGCTCTCTGGACACTTATTATATGTTCCCTTTGGACAAGTCACCAAGGATTTTGTCCAGATTGCTGTTGCTCTTGCCAAAGGTGCAGACTTGGCCCTTGCTCCTCTAGTTCTTTCTCACTTGTACCGAGGTATAAATGATCTCTTAGAGTTTAATTTCACTCGCTTTGGCGGTCCATTCTAGATTTTCCAGGTGTGGCCAAAAATATATTTCCAAGCTTGACTACTCCCATTTCTGTTCAACCTAAAAAATCTCTGTTGTCTTATAGCTTTGTTGAAAGTCGGCCCACCCCCTTCTCTTTTATAGAAGTATTTCGTTTCTTCTATGACTATAATGACTTCAAGCCAAATTCATCTTTAGATCCCTTTTCCACTTATGGACTGATGCCTTCTTGGCTTGTACCCTCCCCGGGAGTTTCAACTAAAAAGTTTTCTGACGATTGGAAGAAAATTTGGGCAAGCTTTTTAATCTGCCGTGATTTACACTATGGAACCTCCACTCCAACTTTAAATAATAGTCATTGTGGGGTTAAGTATTACAATCCGGCTTAGTTGGCTAAACAATTTGGCTTGACACAACTCATTCCTTTGCCCTCTTTTGAATCGGCCAATAGACTTTTTAACACAAGAGTCAGGTTTACCGAGAATAAGCAATTCCAGGCAGTGGATGAAAAGTATGCCTTGAAGAAGAACTCTTTTGAATTTGAAGGTTTTAATAGTTGCCCAGAAGTAACCCAAGAGTTCATTGATTGGTGGACTGCTTATGTTCAACCACAAAATTGGCTTATGTGGAAGTTTGCAACAGGCTTTTGAACTTCTTAAGCCTATCACACCTAGCCGTGAAGAAACATTCTCTGATGGTAAGCTTTCCATACCTTGAATTTTCCCAAACTAGTCACCTATAATCTGTTAATAAAAATCTCCGTTCTTTTGACAAACAATGATGATGATGATGCCGATGGAAAGGACAAGAATCATGCCGGCAAGAAAGGAAAAATTGAATTGACTGCAGAGGTAGAAGGTATTGAAAGAGGTGGGGATAGTAATCCAGAAGGCTCTAGGGTTGACAAGCCTCTAGGAAGTGACAAAGATGTGGCCGTTATAAAAGTTAAGAAAGAGAAATTTCAAGAAGATGAGCTCTATAAAGCAGAAGGGAAAAGGAAAGTTGTTTCTTCTTCTCTGGTATTATAAATACTATTCTAGTTGGCATAACCTCCTTTTCAATTCCTTTCTTAATAACTTCTGCTAGACTTTTCCATTTGACAGTCTCTAGCCATTGCCAAGAAGAAGTACATACTTCATATCACTTTGTCGAGTGAGGATGACTCCTCTACTGCTTTTGAAAAGAGTATCTCAAAAAGGATTTCTTCAGTAAAAACTTCCACCAAGTCCATGAAACATGCAAGTCCACTTGACCGAGATCGTCCCTTGAAAAGTAAAAGGAAACTCCTTGTGGACCCCGAACCAAATGAAGAGTCTGATTTCTTTCAACTAACTCTAGAAACAAAGAAAGCCAAGAAAGAAATCAACTTGGTGAGTTAGTTATTACTGCCCTTTCTTTAACTTGCGCTTGACTAACCATTATTCCTTCTTCAGGGAGCTTCCACAGCCCACAATCTATTAAACATTGCTTTGGAGAGTATTCCATTAGAAGAACAAGACTTAGATCTCCAAAAGTCCATTGCTGCAAGTTTAATTCCTCCAATCAGTTTAGATAGCAGTATCATGCCTACTTCCATTGATCCTATTGTGATTATCCCTCCTTTGAAAGTTTCAACTGGACCTACTCCTTCCCTTCCAGAGGTAAACCCTTTCCTCTTAAATTTCAATAACATTTCTTCAATTAAAGCTAAACTGCTTTTTTTTTTTTTTTTTTTTTTTTTGGTGACGTGGACAACTCATTCAATGTCTACCTCTACCTCCTTCATGGTAAAGAGAAGGACACTCCCAGCTTTGGATGACTTGTATAAAGTGACTAAGGCCTCTAAATCCTCAACCACTTCCACCTCTAGTGCTAGTATTCCTGTTGCTCCTTGTCCAACTGGAGCGGCCTTAAGAGTTGCCAAAGATCAGTTGTTCCAATACCTTGAGAAGAATGTTGAAGAGATTCCTTCATTTCAACAAAACTTGATCACTATCTTGTCTACATTGAAGAAAAATCTAGACCTTTCTCCAGAAATTAAACTCTCTTTAGGCCAATTGCAACACCAGCTACCTTTCATGACGGCAAATATCAATTCTTTGGCAATGGCCACTGGTGAACTCAATCAGAAAATTCAGTTGAAAGATAAGGCTTTTGAAGATCTCAAAAACAGCCTCCTTCCTTATCCAGAGATCAAAATCAAGTTTGAGCAAGTGGCTGATAAAAAAGAAAGTCTTACTGCTGAGATGGAAAGAATTCAAAAGGAATTGGAGAGACTTGAGACTGAAGAAGCTAAATTGGAATAGATTGCTCAAACAATCTTTGCTGAATCAAGCAAGTATAGGAAAAGCTGGGAAGACCTTGCTGAAGAAATTCCTCTCCTAAAAGAAGTGAAAAACAAAGTTGTAGAAGAGGCAGATCAATCCAAGCTTCTTTGGGAAAGCTTCAAAGGCAAGTTTGCCTCTTTATGATGATGTGGTTCTTTGTTGGCTTTTATGTCCCTTCTTGAACACTTTCTTTTAATGTAATAATCACAGGTGTTTTAGGTCTATACACCTTTATTTTGAATGGCATGTAATAAAACTTTCTCATATATTGAAATGCCATTTTTAGTTTCATCCTATTTCTTTGTGCTTTCAAACCATACTTTATTTAAGTGAAACGGAATGCATAAGAAATAAAAGGCAAGATTGACAATATAACTTAAGAACCATGAGTTAGTTCCAAATGCAAATATGAAATAACCAAAATACCTCTTGCTAGAATACTTAGTTGTTTCATTCATTGGAAAATCCTATGAAAATTCATAATTGCCAAGGCCAGTGAAACAGCCATTGGAAAAATTTCAACTGTTTCCATAGGAAAATCCTCTTTCCTTTCCAAATGCCAATTTCCTTTTGGAAGGCTTGACCAACCGTTCATTCGGCTGGTCTTAGTATCATTTTCTCCCAAGCTTCAAAGATTGAGGGGTGATACTATTTCAAGTATACCCCATTGATGGGAGATGAATGAGGTTCACCATCTATATCCATCAACTGATAAGCTTCTTTTCCTAGAATCCTTTCAACTAAGGTCCTTCTCATTTTGGAATCCACTTGCCAAACTCTCAATCTCTAGTCCCGAGTGGCAATTTAACTTTCCAAACCATGTCTCCCTCTAGGAAAGACTTAGCCTTTACCTTTTTGTTGTAAACTCGCATCACCTTCTTCTTCTGTGCAATAACATGGTCTAAAGCACTTAACCAAACTTCATCAAGGTCTTCTAACTCTGCTAGCATGGCTTGAGTATATTCAGCTAGAGTTAGCTCATTTTGGAAAGCTACTCCTGCTGACTTCACTGTCATTTCCATTGGAAGTACTGCGTCGGGTCCATATGTTAACATATAAAGAGTAACTCCAGTACTTGTTCTTTTTGAATTCCTGTATGCCCATAGTACTTCTAACAAAAGGTTATACCATTGCCGTGGATACTTCTCAATTATCTTCTCAATTATGCCAATGATAACCTTGTTAGACGCCTCTACTTGTCTATTTGCCTGAGCAAAGTATGGAGTAGAACTCGTGAACTGGATATTATATATGTCGAATAGATCTTGCACCATACTTCCTAGAAAGGAAAGACTTCTATATGTGGTGATGGTTTCTGGAATTCCAAACCGGTGAATGATATATTTTTCAATGAAATCCATCACTGTTAATTGTACAAAAGATTTCAAAGGAATGGCTTCCACCCATTTCGTGAAATAGTCTGTGGCCACTACTATATGAGTATGGTCATCAGCAGAAGGAGGTGTGATTTTCCCAATGAAATCTAACGCCCAACCTTTAAATGGCCAAATCTTCACCACAAGCTGCATGTTGATGGCTGGTACTCTCTGAATAGGACCATACTTCTGACAAGCTTGACAACTTTTGGTAAAGTCATTACAGTCTTTTAAAATGCCTCTCCAATGATATCCATACCTTCTTAGAAGCCATCTCATCTTTGTTCTAGCTTGATGGGCTCCACATAGCCCCTTATGAACCTCCCCCATGGCTTGAATTAATTCCAGTTTGTCCAAACACCTGAGGAGAAAACCATCCTCTTTGCTTTTCTTGTACAATTCTCTGTCCATTAGAATATAGTGAGGAGCTACAAGCTGAATTTTCTTATTCACATCTGTGCTTAGATTCATCAGGAACTTAATGATAGGAATTCTCCAATCATCTGGATCCACCTCCTCCAAGTCAACATAGTTAACTTCCAAATGTTCATTCCTCATTTTTATAGATGGAAGTGGTCTCCTTTTTATTGATATTATGGTTCTTCTACTCCAGGTGGAACTTTTATACTCGATGATACCTGAGCCAGTCCATCTGCCTCTTTATTCAGGTGTCTTGGCCAATGCTGTAACTGATAATCATCAAATTGATCTAGTAATTGTAAGGCCAAGAAATGGAAAGGCCTCAGATGATGACTAAGGCATCTGTATTCATCAGCCAACTGGTTGATCACGAGCTTGGAATCTCCAATGATAAGTACACTTCTGGCTTTCATTTCCAGTAGAATTTCCAAACCAATTATGAGTGACTCATACTCAACCTGGTTATTAGTACATAAACAATCCAAAAAGAAAGAAAATGATGTCTTCCTTTTCCTTGGAGAACTTATGACAATTCCAGCTCCTCCTCCATGACTAATACATGAACCATTAAAGAGTAATGTCCATGAAGAACGTTCGAGGTAGAGACTATCCACCTCGTCACACATTTCTGTTGTTATTTCAGTGGAAGGATGATCAACCAGAAATTCTGCTAGTGCACATCCCTTGACTGCTTTATGTGGAATGTACTTAAAACTAAACTCCATCAAGGCCAATGAACATTTTCCAATCCTTCCAGTAATCAAAGGCCTTGATAACATGTACTTAATCAAATTAGTTTGAGAAACAATGTACATAACAACCGGAAACATGTATATTCTTAATTTCATCGTAGAATAATGCAAAGCAAGACATAACTTTTCAATTGGAGTGTACCTACATTCCACTGGAGTGAGTACTCGATTAAAAAAGTAAACAACCTATTCCTTTCCCCATTCATTATTTTGCGCCAATAGAGTCCCAATGGACTCCTCAGCGACCGATAGGTATAACCTTAAAGGCCGCTTTTTTATTGGTGGCATCATTACAGGTGGATTGACCAGGTATCTTTTAAGTTCTTCAAAAGCTTCTTGATGCTGGCTTGTCCACTGGAAATCTTCTGTTTCTTTCGGCTTCAAAATAGATGAAAAAACATGGGTTTTTCCAGCATGGTTGGAAATGAATCTGCAAAGAAAGCCTATCTTCCCCAGAAACCTCTGAAGTTCTTTCTTACTCTGAGGAGGTTGTGCTTCCATAATGGCCTTAGCTTTGTTCTTATCAATCTCTATTCCTCTCTGGTGAACCAAAAAGCCTAAGAAATTTCCAGCTGAAACTCCAAAAGCGCATTTCAACGGATTCATCTTCAACTTGTGCATCCTCATCCTTCTAAAGGCCATTTCTAAATTGATTAAATGTTGAGGCTTTTCTGATGACTTGATGACTACGTTGTCAATATAAACCTCCATAAACCTACCAATCATATCATGGAAAATTGCATTCATCGCCCTTTGGTACGTAGCTCCTGCATTCTTAAGGCCGAATGGCATAACCACCCACTCAAATATCCCAATAGAACCTGGACATTTGAATGCCGTTTTTGAAATATCTTCTTCAGCAATATAGATCTGATTGTAACCGGAATGGCCGTCCATAAATGATAGAATTCCATTCTTTGCCGCTACATCCACTAATTGGTCTGCTACGGGCATTGGATATTCATCCTTTGGAGTTGCAAAGTTAATATTTCGAAAATCTATGCATACTCTTAGCTTGCCATTCTTCTTGATGATTGGCACTATATTTGAAAGCCATTCCATATACCAAGTAGTTCTGATGAAGCCTGCCTTCAAAAGCCTTTGAATTTTTTCTTTAACTTTCAGAATAACTTCCTATGACATCCTTCTAGGAGGTTGTTCGAAAGGCCGGTACCCTTCCTTAATTGGTAGCTTATGCTCTATAAATTTTCTAAAAAGACTAGGCAACTTATCATATATCCAAGCAAAGCAATCCTTAAATTCTTTCAAGAGAGAAATTAATTCTTCTTGAAAATTAGGTTCCAACAACCCACTTATATAGGTTGGCCGCGGATCTTCCTCTGTCCCCAAATTAATTTCTAACAGTGGATCTTGAACCTTGGCCTTTAAATCATCAAGCTTTGCTGGGGCAGACTTCAAATCTGCTAGTTGAATCACATCCAGTTTACCTTCTGGATCTTATGTGGTTTTTACCAAGTTACTGGAAAGTACCTTGGCACATCTTTTACTTCGTTCCAGCCGTAATTCGGCTAGATATGCTTTTAATCTTGCCAGGCAACAATTCACAGCCTAGCTTCTTGCCCTTTCTTTCTTATGAACCTCTTCCATTAAAACTATTCAAAATGTAACGCAATGGACGTCGGGTGGTGAGAGGATTGCTAGCCTTGACATCTCCTGGAACAACTCTTTAGCTTCTTCCTCCGTAAAGAGTTTTCCGCATTGTTGCCATCTTAGGTCGGCCCTTACTATCTTTTCCAATAAACCTTACTCGCATGAACTCTCTATTGTAAAGCTCAGCATCTGCATGATACACTCTAGCAATGAATGGTTTGTTATCCGCTTCTACAATCTTAACTTCTTCACCATCCCAAAAAATTAGCATTTGATGCAACGTGGACGGAATGCAAAAATTGGGATGTATCCATTCACGGCCTAATAATAAATTATAGGCCACTGTAGATTCCACAATAAAGAATGCTGTCATGGTTATAACATCTCCAACAGTCAATTCCAATGGAAGAATCCCCTGTGTTTCCACTGAACCTCTAGTAAAACCGTTGATAGCCACATCACTAGGAATTACATCCTCTGCTGTCTTACCCAATTTCCTCATGACATTAATGGGAATAATATTCAGGACTGAACCATTGACTACCAAGACTCTTGAAAGTGGACGACCCTTAATTAATACCTTTATGTAAAGTGGCTTTAACTGCTGAGTCATTCCAACAGGGGGTTTCTCCAAAACCACTTTCTTTGGAGTTGGAAGTACATTATCTTGAATTTCAATTTCATATGCCTTTTGGAAAGCCTCGGCTTCTTCTTCTGAAAATTCCTCTATAATTTCTTCTATGTGTATGCCGTCAATCCTTTTCTCTATAACTAAATCTAATTCAACAACTTTTGTTTCCTTTGGAGTTGACTCATCATCAGCAACATCACCTATCATTGAAGATGGCTGATTTGGTTTGGATTTGAAAACCAATGGAAGGATAACAACCATATTACATGACATTTCCTCTGGAAATCTCCCAAAACGGATTTTCTTTAAACTGGATGAGTTCTCAGAACTCTCCAATTCTTTTATTGGGATTTCTTCTTGCACCTTATCCTCCTCCATAAGGGACTGTTCTAGCTCAGAACCAAAGTCTTCTAAATAATCTGGGACTCTATCTCTTCCCCTTCCCAATTTCTCGGTCAGGTCTATAGGTTTTCTTACTTCATTTGTTGCTTTCCAACCATGATCCTCCTCCCATAGCTTTCTTCCCTCGGCTTTTCTCCTTTGGAAACGACGTTTCTATGTTCCCGTATAAGTTGCATCCTTATATTTAGGAAACTTAGGATGGTCCACCCTTTTCCACCTTTCTGAGTGAGGAATTGGGGGCTTGACCATCCTTGGATTAAGAGTCTTAGTTTCTTTCTTTACCCAGACCTCTGAAGCAACTTTGGGCTTTCCGTGAGAAGCATTAATGAACTCCTCATTTTTCCTAGTAGGCTTTTCCACCCTTCCTTCATGAAATCCAGAATCTCTTCTTGGTAGAAGAATACTTCTTTTCTCATAAACCCTTGTTTCCAGGCTTCTTGGTCGAAACCTAGAATTTTCTGCATATTTGGGCCTTTTCTGACTGAAAGGCCTTCTGTTAACACACCATTCTTTAGCTGGAATGGTTACAATAACCAATTCTACTGGCTGTCGGAAAGTCAGTCTATCATGAACCTTTTTTTTCTAGCTACGCTCCTCACTTGATGTCTGCTCCTCCTTGTTCTTGCCCACCGATTTATGGACCTTGCATTGAGGGCAACATGTACCCTTGCTGGATGAGGGCAATTTGAGCTTTTCGGAGCTGTCTTTCTAGTTCTGCCACAGTTTTTTCCAATGGAATTAACTCTAGCTCGGCAACTGCTTTCCCTTTAGCCTTTCCTTCATCCAAGTCCACCTTCTTTCTAGGATGGTCAGCAGCGTTACTAATTACATTGGTATTGACCACTGTTGGAAAAGTATTCCCATCTACTCCCATTGCTTCACTTTTCTCTGGAAACTTTATCTTCCCTTCCTCGATTGCTCTCTGCACAATATTGCGAAAAATAACACAATTATTAGTTGAATGTCTCCAAGAATTATGATACTTACAATATTCTTTTCCAAGTAAATCATTAGGAGTTGGGAGTTTATGCCTAGGAAGATTAGCTGTTTATTGGCCATCAGCAAGTCAAATATTTGCTCAGCCTTGGTAATGTCAAAGGAATATCCTTTGGTGGAATCAGGTATCCCTTTTCTTATTTGAAGTGGAAGCGGCTTGGGCACTAGTAGTAGCTACAGATTTTGACTTTACAAATGCCTCACATATATATGGCTTTTTGATGTTTAATTCTGCCATATGAACCTTAAAATCACTATCAAGGTCAGCGGCAAAGACTTTATAATTTGGGTCGCGATAATAAGTTCCCTTTGAGGAAGCTTTCCTATTATTTTCCTTATGAAGTAACCCTTCATACTTGGCAACTCTACTCGCCAAGTCAAAGAGATCGCGGAATTCTATCCCTTCAAATTTCTTGCACAATTCAAGGTCTAGACCATTGACAGCTATTTTGACATACTCGATTTCGGGAAGATCTACATGACACTTATGCTTGCCTTTCTGAATCTGGACAGAAAAGCTTCTACGGACTCTCCTGGCAATTGGTTAAGCCTAGAAAGATCAGTCATGGAAACATCTGGCTCAGTTCAATAGAAATATGTATGGAACATTTCTTCAAACTGATGCCAACTATTAATGGAATTTGCAGGCAAGTTTGTGTACCATCTGAAGGCATATCCGATCAAAGTGTTAGGAAACAACCGGACTTTCAACCATTAATTGCCTCCTGCTTCACCACATTGAACTGTAAATCGGCTTATGTGTTCCACGGTGGATTGGTTGCCTTCGCCACTGAAAGTGGCAAATTTAGGAATTCTGAAATTCCTCAGATATTCAACATTATCTACTAACTTAGGGTATGATTTCCTATAAACAGGTCTCCCACCCCTTTTAGTCAAACCAAATTCTTACTGAAAAAACTCAGCAAGTTAGCATCTGTCCATTCCCGGCAACTGAACTGGTGGTTAGTAATTCTCCGGCCATCCTTGTGATTGGTTGGCCATGGGCTGCCCCCCAAACATCATTGGAGGTGTGTTTGGGTCTGGGTTGTTCCTTTAGTGACCTCTGTTGCCTCCTTGATCAAGAGGCTCCCTTGGTATGTTTTGCTCCCCACCTACTACAGGAAAAACCTGAGGTGGTCTTTGAGGAATGGTAGAAGGTGGCTAAACATACTGCTAGCCAACATTCGGCAGAAAATACGACTGATTTCCTAATTGACCCGTCTGAGCTGCACCCAGAGAGGACCCAAATTGATACAAATTATTAGAAAAAACTTCAGGACATACCTGCTGAGGCAAAGTCACAGGAGCTAAATTCTGAACTTGCTGGGTCACTGGAATGGTCGTCATTTGTGCAGGTGGAATTTGCGTTGTCTGTGCCTGTGACAAAGAATGCATAGGTTGGTGAGAAGGACTTCCTTCAAGAAAAGTACTTGGCCTGTTCACTGGAACGGCCGAT